TGCTGCCACAACCCAATGCTGTTTGCCACAGTGTGCTTTTTCTGACATGATGATTTACACTCTCTGTTGTGAGCATGACAGAAAGCAAATCCATCTTCTTCTAAGTTCCCATTGTCGGGAATTTGTCCACGTGTGAGCAAAACAATGAACACAGCGCCCACCGCAAGAGGGTTTTGCTTTGGCGACTCCCCAGGCATCTTTAATCCACACGTCAGTCTTGGCAACCTCTTCTCTTCACCTTCCTAGCCTCAGCTGAAGGCACTGGGATGCCCCAGTCTCCATCCCACGGTTCAATTTCAGTTTTATGTTTGGTATATGAGTGTGTGTGTGTGTGTGTGTGTGTGTGTGTGTGTGTGTGTGTAGTGTGTGGGGGTTGTGAGTATGTGTGTGTGGTTCATGTGTGTCTAAGTGTGTGTGTGCATGTGTGGTATGGTGTATGTGTGTGTACGTGTGTGGTGTGTGTGGTGTATGTGTGGTGTGAGTGTGTATGCATGGTGTGTGTGTCTGTGTGTGTGTAGTGTGGGGGGTTGTGAGTATGTGTGTGTGGTTCATGTGTGTCTAAGTGTGTGTGTGCATGTGTGGTATGGTGTATGTGTGTGTACGTGTGTGGTGTGTGTGGTGTATGTGTGGTGTGAGTGTGTATGCATGGTGTGTGTGTCTGTGTGTGTGTAGTGTGGGGGTTGTGAGTATGTGTGTGTGGTTCATGTGTGTCTAAGTGTGTGTGTGCATGTGTGGTATGGTGTATGTGTGTGTACGTGTGTGGTGTGTGTGTGTACGTGTGTGGTGTGAGTGTGTATGCATGGTGTGTGTGTCTGTGTGTGTGTAGTGTGGGGGGTTGTGAGTATGTGTGTGTGGTTCATGTGTGTCTAAGTGTGTGTGTGCATGTGTGGTATGGTGTATGTGTGTGTACGTGTGTGGTGTGTGTACGTGTGTGGTGTGAGTGTGTATGCATGGTGTGTGTGTCTGTGTGTGTGTAGTGTGGGGGGTTGTGAGTATGTGTCTGGTTTGTGTGTGTAAGTGTGTGCGTGCATGTGTTGTGTGTGTGTTGTGTGTGTTATGTGTGTGCATGTGAGATGAGTATGTACAGGTGAGTGCATGCTATGATGAACATGTGGAGGTCAGAGGACAACTTCTGAAAGTCAGTACTCTCCTGCCACCGTGTGGGGTACGGGCATAGAATTCAGTGATCAGGCAAGAAGGCTTGCCAGTCTGTTTCCATAGTTCAGACTCAGATCTGTCTCTTAGGAACCAATGAAGGCTTCTAGACTTCCCACCATGCATCTCTCTGTCTCCTGAGTGGTTTTATATCTTTAGTGATTGGCACATTGAAGGCTCTTAGTTCAGTGCTGACAGGAGCAAGGCCATGTTTACTTGGCACATACACTGTCATCATAAGGAAGATATATGCATTTGGCTAACCTGCTTGGAGACCGTGGTAATGCCAGAATCATCTTTGTTCACGTGTGAGCAAACTCCTACCTGACATGAAGCAAAGAGACTTCATAAGATACATGGATAAAATCTTCATGCAACATTGTCCCAAATATGAAACACTTGGTTACTGATTATATCTTAATCTGGGCCAGGAAACATCACTTACTGATGCTTGTTTTAAAAATGTTTAACGAACTCCAGAAATATAAGTCTAATATTAATATAATTTGAAGGTCTTACTTGGTGTTTAAGCAAAGTAGACAGTACAAAAATGATTGACATATTAGTGTCTCTTAATGTATAATGCAAGAGAGGAGCACCACCTACAACAGTCAGCCATTCCCGAGTGAGAAACACTTATTCTGAGTTCATTTAAAAATTCTACCTTGCAAGTGATAATACTCCCTATTGGAAATAACCTGAATGTGCCAAATACTGGGTTCACTTCCAGATGGCTTATACAATTATTTAAAAATGAAAAAAACTAATTTTTCTTTGGCAAGGATATTAAGTGTGCATTCAGCTAATGCCAATAAAAGACATTCACTTATTAGTATTAGCAAATATGTTCATAGACTAATTCCTAGACAAACTTACAAAATTAAATAATAATTGAAAAGTTGTGATAGCAGGTACCCATGAATCAAAAGCAGGAAATGAAAATAATAAAGCCCTTAATGATAGGAATAAACGTGTAGTAACAGGCAAATGAGAAGCCTATCCGTTGAGCTGGGGATTACAGACATCAGCTGGATTTGAACATTGTGTGCTTAGGATTTTCATCTTTCAGGAGGGAGCAGTAGTGTTTTATGTGGAAATGTATTTATGAAAGACACAGAAGCGTTTGAGCTAGGGTGTGGGTGACAGAGGAAGGCGGGCCTTATGACAACTCCCATTGTAAAGTAGCAATGGGTGTCCTCCTCCAAAGTGCCCACAAGGTAGACAGATATCGCCACACTACGCTGGAGGTGGTACCTGAGCACATTCAGGTCAGTAATGCCACTATACATAATACTTCAGTGAATACATGTTAGAACAAACCAATGTCAGCAATTTGGGGACTCAAACAGGCATCTTTATATAACCCCCCAAATGTATACTCCCACTTTAATAAGACATGAAAACTATGAATATAGTATAAGTTCTATGGGAACAGCAAAAACTTAAAGAAATGTGAAAAGTAAAACCAAAATCTGAACCATGCATAGCTAGTTCAAGTCTCCAGAGCATCCAGATTTGAGTTTGGGCATTTCATCTAAAACTTCCTGAAATCTTTTTTGACATCTGACCTCGAGAATCAAATCAGTCTATTGATTGATCAGTGACACAGAATTTCGTGGATTTGATCTCCTTTCTACCCTATCTTGATGGGGAATGATCTTATGTGTGTATGCTTATCTTATTGGTTGTTGAATAAAGCACTGTTGACGAATAGGGAGGCAAGGTAGGTGGGACTAGGAGTCGAGGAGCATTCTGGGAAATGTAGTAAAGAAGAGTTGCCATGTGATCCAGGTAGGAAGTGACATAGCAAGACAGAATCAGTATATATAAGCATGGACAAGCAGGAATTCGCTCCCCTCTCTTCTCTGCGGAGAAACGGAACAAACATGATGTAGACCCCCAAGGAGAAAAAGGACCATACCTTATCTCTGGTAAGATAAGGCCACGTGGAAATACATGGATTATTATGCAATGGGTGAATAATTAAGACTGAGCTAGCAAATAAGAAACCTTAGAAAAAGGCCAACAGTATGTATAACTAATATAGGGTCTGTGTGTTTCTTTGGGGCAGGTTGACCCTAGCCAGGCTAGAAAAACATTCACGTTACAACATCTGCTTCTTAGAATTTGAGAAAGAAGCAAAGTCATATATATCACCCCTCACCCTTTCCTCCTCCCCCAGAGGCTGAGAAACATATTTGAGTCTCTTTAAGCTTCTGAAATTTTACATTTTACTGCATTATAAGAGAGAAGCATAAAAACAGCACAGGTGACATAAATCATGGGGCAAGGCCTAGAAACGCCCACAACAAAACGGAAAGGGCTTCAGAGGAATCACTTTCTCATTAGTCACTGAAGCCTCGGACAAAGGGCATTGCCCCTACCCCCTAGGTCTGAGACTAAGAACCTGGGAATTTCTGATTTTTATTCCAGTATTAAATTTCTTTTTCCAAATAGTCCCCAAGATAGAACTCATGCTATTATTACTGATCCAGAAGAAAACCACCTCGCTAAAAAATACAAAGTTACATCAAAATCCTAATCAGTATTCTTCATAGAAGAATTAAAAAATAAAATCAAAGCTCGGGGAAGATAAAAAGCAATCTCAATTGGTGTAATCCTCAAGCCGTGGTAAAATCTCCCCAGTCTTGTGGTGATGTCATGTACTTGCTTCTTTTATGTTGTTGTAAAATACACTCACCAAAAGAAAATTTAAGGGAGAAAAGGTTTGTCTGGCTTACAGTTGCAGAGTGGTGGACTCCATCACGGCCGGAAGACCTGGCAACAAGGGAGGGGGGGGGGCGTGGCAGCGGGAACGGGCAGCTCGCTGGCCACATTCCATTCCCACTCAGGAAACAGAGCAAGCAAGAAGTGAGCACAGACTATAAAAACCATCCCCGGTGACCAGTGACGCATCTCAACCTCCTAAAGGTCCCACAGCGTCTGCAAGCAGCATCGCCAGGTGGGAAGCCGCTAGGGGAATTTATATTCAGACCACGGGTGTGGGCACCAGTTTTCAGATACGTACACAGAGCGAATCTGTACATCTGTGCCTGGTGTTGCACATCTGCTGCTTGCCTAGGCAACCTAGTGTAACCCCATAGGAAGGCAGAAAGGGGCCTGGGGCCACAGTTCCAGGGAAGAGCTCTTACTTAGCAAGCTCAAGGCCCTAGACTTAATCCCCTGTACTGCAAAAAAGGGGGAAAAGGAGGGTAAATGAAAAATGGTAAGTAGTCAATATTTGGGGCATAAAGTCTAGAAGATTAGTTGACAGCTGCCTTCCTTAGGTTTTAATACTACCCAGATAATTTGATTATCATTTTCTACCAACAGCAGTTGCTTGTCTGTGCTCATTCCCCAGACTAGGTCAGTGTCAGGGTGCGCGTTCTAACGATGATGAAACGACTCAGGCATGTGACAAGACACGGTAGAAACAATCTGGAATTCGATGAAACTACAAGCATCATCTCCCGAAAGTTGCCGCCATTTGCTCTGGGACAACACCCTCCAAAGATTACCGAGTGTGTGTATTTAAGAGGGCTGTATTAAGCATCATGAATACTTACAGAGGAACAGACAAAGCAGCGTATAACTATCGCTTCAGAACTCCGAGAGTGGAGTGGAAGAATCGCACCCTGGGAGCCAGCCTGGGCTACTCTGTGCTAGAAACCAAGTAAACATCAGCACTGTAGTCCTTCGTCTACTATGTGCGCATGCGCAAGTCCCCAGGTCCGCTACCAACAAGACCGACCAGAGCCATTACCTGCCAAAATGACTTAGCAGGAAAACCATCACCCCTCAGTTCCGTTAGACTGAAGCTCTCACAGCAAACAGGAAACTCCGGCTTTACTTACAAACTTTATTTGTCTGTCTGGTTCACAGTTTTTACGTGGCGCATCCCATTGTATATCAGCTTTCTGAATGGTTACTGAAGGAATAGGTGGTGTAGCTTTCTTTGTAAGGGGGCCTGACTTGCTAAAAATTTGGTTAGAACTTCTGTGGGTTTATAAAAGTACTCTCTGCAAGCTAACTGGATATTTACATTTCTAGCTTAAATTCAAATTTTGGAAAATATGAATGTCTTTAAGATTTTTTTAAAAGATCCTGGGTTTATTTCTTAAGACTTTAATCTGAATGCCACTTGTTCACATATGCCCATCCCTCCTCCAAAAGGAAAAGAAATCACACTTTTGCAATTACATGTAGAGGAATCATTTTCCTTCTGCACTTTAAAAGTTATATATACAGTGTACAGTAGATGTAAGTATGAAAATAAAGGAAAGGGTGGCAGTTTACAAGATGCAGGTATTGAAATTTTTTTCTGAATCTTGAAACATCCAAAAGAATTATAGGATATACATTTAAATTAAATGGATTATTAGCTTTTCTCTTATCTAAAAAATAATAGCTCTGGGGGTGTATGTTGTGCTACCCAGCATTTTCTCTACTGGCAGAGATGATGTAGGTTGGTGGTCTGTATCATTCCATGTGCAAAAGTCACAGAGGTCCCCAGTCCAGAGTCTGTGCTCACAATCAGTCACCTCTGCAGAGGGACTCTAGGTGACTGGGGGCTGTAGCCCCCTCCTCCTGGGCACCACCCCACCCTACAATTTGGCAGGAACCAGTCAAGAAAAGAAAAGGGTGTTAGCCTTCTAGGCTATTCCAAGCTGGCAGTGAGCCATCTATTGGCAAATACACATAGTGGCTTCACTGTCTTCTTTTCACCAGAGTGAATTCATGCCAACTGTTGAGATGGCTTCCTATTAGACCGCTTGGATTACAGAAGTATGTGCTCACTTCTTCTGCCTTAAAACATGGCTAGTTATTAATAAGTGATAAACTTCAAATACTGCCAGGAAAGAGGGGGGAGGGGCTGTGTAGAAGCAGCCGATGTTACCGGCCTGGTGATTATTACTCTGTACATATGTATAGATGTACCATTGGTACCCCAGTCAAATAAATACTCAGAGGGCCTTCTCTGACCTCCCTTCTCGGCGGTGCCTTGTGACGCCAGAGCTCCTGAGTGTCGCCTCTGTGCCCGTGGCCTGCATCTGTTTCTTCCACCAAGCTACCCATTGCTTCCGGCCAGGTACAGTATATGAAGGGGGGGGTAAGAATCAGCAGAGGTCAGCCTGGGGGGGCAGGGAGGGGAAACCACAAACCCACTAGGGAGGGTCCTGCTTCTTCATAAAGTTAAGGCACTGACAGAAAATTTCTTAGGTAAAAGGCTGCATGAGAATTTCTTGCCATTTACAGAAAGAAATGTTGTCATCCCTAAGTGGTCCATATCCAGGCTCGGTCAGGGGAACCCTGAAAAGGTCAGGGGCGGATCCCTCCAAGCTGCATGACTACCAAAGCATTCCGATTCCTTCAGAGGCCTTATGGCACGTTAGGAAAAGAGGGGGAGGGGAACAGTCTGGGCACGAAAAGGCATCCGACACTGCCCGTCCATCACTCGCCACTCAGAAGGACAGCTCACAAGCCTCCCGAGAGGGCTGCCTGGGGACTCCACACTCCCTGGGTGTAAGGTGACCGAAGGCTGCATCTGTCTCCTTTCCCTTTGAGAGCTCAGCATGCACAGTGTTTGAATGCTACCGGCGGCAGCAGTCACAAAGAGCCTAGAGAAGCCCTCCCCAACGGCTACCCTCTTCCGGAAGAGAGCTACTTCATGTTCTCAATGACAGCTATCTCTTCGCCGGCACACTGAGGGGTCAGGCCATTCAGATAGATGCTCTCGGCCTTCAGCAAGGGAGGTAAGACTTCCCTCTCGCTGGTCAGGTGGTTCACCGAGAGGGTCCTCCTACAAGGAGTCAGTTCCTGGCTGTGGTTCCCGGCCAGTTCCGCAGAGAGCTTCCGCTTCACTGATGTGGCACGCTGGAACTTGTCGTAGATCTCCACGCTCAGCCGCCTCCTTGTTTCTTTGAACTCGGCTGTGACGTTGGCTGTCCATTCAGCAGCATGTGCTCTGAACTCTCCCACCTGGAGCGTAGAGGCCAAGAAGAAAGAGGAAGCCGTCAACACAGGAGCTATGTCTTGTGTAGTTCGTGTTTCATTTGGGGGATTTATTGAGAAGGTATCTATTCTGACAGTGACTGTGATTAGCAGCCATGCAGACAGGACAAGAGTCAAATTCCTGCAGAAAGGGCTCCAAAATATCATGAACATAAACATGAGAAATAAAATTATATTTCTAAGGCTCCAGACACACTTAATTTTATGCAAGAGTCCTGTAATAGAATGATCAAATGCTAAGTCAGATGCAGTAGGAAACATGTGGATCCCTAAGGCTTGCTGGCCAGCCAGCCTAACCTACTTTGAGAGCTGTGATTCAGTGAGACATTGCTTCCCTAGGAACCTCACATGTAGTGGTAAATCATCATTCACCATTCATGCTATGCTCCTATTTCTTAACCAGCTGTCTCCCTGTCCAGGCTAACTGTGTGTGAAAACACAGTCCACATGATCTTCATGTCTAGAGTGTATGCTGTCTGACACTGAAGTGCTTTTCCATGAATACACACTGTCCTTAGGTTTTGAAATAACACACGTACCATCAAAGGTTAAAATATCTAGTCTCTCTGCAACTGCAACTTAATTTTAAAGAAAAATTACAGCTTAAAGATTAAATATATCCATTAGTAAGTTCTTAGATAAAATAGTTTCTGTTTTCTAATGCATTAATTATCCTAGTTTACTTCATAGACAACAATCTAAAAAAAATAAAATAAATGTTTGCAACAAGGTCTCGGCACACAGCCTCATTGTGACCTAGGATTCAATGTGTCCTTCTGTTCCAGGTATTTGGTTGATTAAAGGCATGCCTCCTGGCCTGGCCTGATGTGAAATTTGAAATGTATTGTGAAATGAGAATAATTATTAATAAATTAAAATAATTCCACCTGAATCGTTTCCACCATTACTCCCACTGCAGATGATTTTATGGAGGAGTACGCCTGCTCTGTTTCACAATTCATAATCAACCCACAGTAAGTTCAGCAAGTATTAGTCTACTCTTTGATGAGCTTTTCCTAGCAGAAGTTTAATATAAGCTTTAATACAAAGAGGAAGCAAACTAATCTACATATTCTGTTTAAATGAGTGTCTGTCCCTGAATGCAAGAATCAGATATGAAGCTGGGCTGTGGTGGCTTATGTCTTTACTTCCAGCACTCTGGAGGCAGAAGCAGGTGGATCACTGTAAGTTTGAGGCCAGCCTAGACTACAAAATGAGTTCCAGGACAACCAGAGGTACACAGAGAAACCCTGTCTCTAAAAACCAAAACCAACCAAAGAAACAAACAAAAGAACAAGATATGGCATCTAATTCATTTCCATACTCCCAAAGGTGGCTACTTTATTAGAGGGCTTCCCTCCCTTTTCTAAGGTAATTCTCTCTCTCTCTTTCTGACTCTCTCATCTTAAAAAAAGGATTTTTTGCTATAAAATTTGCCCTTTGCTTATCAAAAGTCAACAGTTAATCTTTTCATTGGTTAACTTTGTATTATCTCTAGCCAGAGTATAAGCTCTCTGTATACCCTTGACACTAAGTCGATGGTGTGTAGCAGACATTCAACAAACGCCTATCGAATGAGCAAACACTAAACCACTAAAATCACAGCCTCTCTACCTGACACGCTGGTGATAAAAGCTGGTGTCGCAAAGCCCACATGCTGTCACTGCTTTTCTTTTACATAAGCTCGTCTTATTTTCTTCCTCTTCCATATTTTGTACAATAAAAAAAAAGTCCTTAGTAAATGAGTTGTTTTGCAAAATGGCTGTGTTTCAAACCAGTCTGGGCCCCTTTCCTTGTTAGTGCCTACACGTCCTTGGTGGTTTGTCAGAAGCCTAGCATTTCTCAGCAAGCATGATGGGTGTATCAAGGCTGGCACGTGCCCTGTCTCCCACAGGCTCGTGGTTTTGAAGACTTGGTCCCCCGATAGTGACACAGTTTGGGAAGGTTTTGGAACCGTAAAGATGGAGCTGTGGTAAGACTCAAGCCTTTACAGCCCGGCCCCTCGCTTCCTGTCTGCTCTATGCTTCCTGAATGCCAATGCAATGTGACCAGCTGGCTGCTACCCTGTTGCCATGCCTGCCCCGCCATGATATGTGTCCCCTTGAGCTATGGGCCCCGAGTAAACCAACCCTTCCCTTCCTCTTCCTCCCTTCCTCCTTCCTTTTTTCCTCCCTCCCTCCTTCTGTTTTTCCTTCCTCCCTCCCTCCCTCCCTCCCTCCCTCCCTCCCTCCCTCCCTCCCTCCCTCCCTCAGGCATTTTGTCACAGAGGCCACAGCAAGTTGTGAAGTAACTAACAGGATGGCGGTGTGTGACATCTTAGGGTAACTGGTTGGCCTTTCCTTTCTTCTGCATTTGAGCACTGTGAGCAGCAACAGTGATCCCGACTGGGCCACATCTTTGCTAAATTTTCCCTGTTGTTACTGCAGCTGGAAGCACAGAGACAGACCATTTGTCACTTTTTCAGATGTGGATATTTTTGCTTTATCTGATCCTACGAGGGAACTAAACCCCAAGTACAAATCCTCACTCTGCCAGTTGATCACTACAGATCTGTGTTTCTCAACCTCTCTGCTTTAGTGTAATACTCTCGGTGGGTCGAAGACAACACTAGAATCTCCCCTATATGCTGCTACAGCAATCTAGTAGAGCAGGTTTCCTAAAAGAGCAACAGCGAGCGCACATGCACTACATAAACATCCAGGATATGACACAGTGCCACCCAGACCTGTGTTAGCGAGCACAGCTCTTTTTACTGAGTTCTAGTTGAGAGTTATTTTAGGCCGAATTCTACACAGCCCCACTACTACCTTTTATGCACAGCCACACATAAACTCTGCTTTCCCACTTCAGAAACAGGACCCAATTACTGGCACCCCACAGAAAGCTAAACAGCTCAGCTCTGTCTTCACTGCAACTTGAAATGAAGAGATCCTGAGATCTGGAGAAAGTACGAACCTTGGCCTTCACCTGAATTTTCTCAATAAGCAAATTTCACAAAGTCACCAGGACCTCCCAGGCTGCTCGTGACAGAGAACTCTCTGCAGAGCCAAGAAATCCTGCGTGTGAGCATCGCTGCCAAACAGAAAGTGGCAGCCGCAGGAAGGCTTTGACTTGTCTGATCCTCAGGCTGCTGGTCTCTCATCTTCAGTTGTACTTGATCTCTGGCATGGGTGTGAATTTCTGCCCCCTGGGGAATGGGATTCTCCTGATTTTGACAGAGTCCCCACTGGTGGACAAATAGCCTCTGGAGGGTTTCACAGCTTAAGGGGGAGGAGTCAGAAATACAAGCTGGGAAATGGGAGAGTGACTCAGGGTGCAAGCACATCCTGCGTGCCCACAGGCAGCCGTTTGGCATCCCTATCGAGCATTCGATTCACAAGAGCAAACACGAGAGATGAGTGTGCAATAAAAACTGGAGATCAGCTGCCGCACAAGAGCAAACACGAGAGATGAGTGTGCAATAAAAACTGGAGATCAGCTGCCGCACAAGAGCAAACACGAGAGATGAGTGTGCAATAAAAACTGGAGATCAGCTGCCGCACAAGAGCAAACACGAGAGATGAGTGTGCACACGTGTGAGTTTGGGCTTGTTCTTCTTGTGTTTCTTCCCCGTTTTGAGACAGGGTTTCTCTGTGAAACAGTCCTGGCTCTCCTGGAACTCACTCTGTAGACCAGGCTAGCCTGGAACTCACAGAGATATCTGCCTGCTCCTGTCTCCCAAGTGCTGCGATTAAAGGTGTGTGCCACCACTGCCTGGGTGAGTGTGTTTTTAAAATACAAAGGATCCTATGGTTGATAAATATATTGAAGCCAGTGTTGGTAGGATGCCTAAGTGTACCCTCATTATTTATTAATTCTAAGTCTAGAAATCTTATGGAGAAATGCAAAGAATTCACACTAGGTGGAAGCCCACCCTGCAGCCGGTGATGCTACTAGAGCGAGTGTGTGTGGCTTGAATATCCTAAGGGAAACAATGAGTCAACCCATAAAGACAAACCCTTTGGCTCTTCATCAAAACCAACAGTAGTGCCCATTCTTTCCTAATCACGCCTGTCTTCACTACTCTTTATGATGCTGGACTTAGGGAACATAACTGCTAAGCTTTGAAAATATGGAAGAAAAAAAAGGTCCCCAAAAACAAAATCAAAGCATCCACATGAAAGAAAAAAATCATTCCAGTTCCTTAAGAAAAAGATTAATTTGCTCCCATTTCAAAAGAAAGAAAAAAACAAATGGTGATGTGATACAACTGTAGCACAACATACTCATTAGCCATCAAACAACAGGGCCCTGAAGTACAGACTCATTTCAACTCTGATCAATCATCCATCCAAGAAATGAAGGTGTTATGTTAAAAAAAAAGATGAGAGAAAGGAAGGATGAAAGGAAGAAAAAAGAAAGGAAGGAAGGCAGAAAGAAAAAGAGAGAAAGAAAGAAAGAAAGAAAGAAAGAAAGAAAGAAAGAAAGAAAGAAAGAAAGAAAGGAAGGAAGGAAGGAGGGAAGGAAGGAGGGTCTGAGGAGATGGCTCAGCAGTTAAGAGCACTTGTTGCTCTTGCAAAGGAGTCGGGTCTGCCTCTTAGCACCTGCGTGGCTACTCACACAACCACTCATAACCAGTTCCGGGGGATCTGATGCCCTCTTCTGACCTCTGTGGGCGCTGTACACACAGGGTGTTCATACATGCATGCAGGCAAAACACCTGCACACATAAAATAATTAAAATCTTTTAAAAAATCGAAAAGAAGTTCCTTATAAATCAAATGTATAAGAAGATTTTTTGTTGTCTGAAATGTCGATACGATATTCTGGGAAATTAAAATGAATTCTCATGCATTAAACTGGTTTGAATTTGTTTGCTTTTATTTTTTGAGAAGATCTTACAGCAGTACTCCCCCTCACTCAGGCATAGCAGGGTACATCATTTCTCGACAGAGCTGAAGGCCACACTGCGGTCCTGAATGGCCACC